TGGGGTGATTGTTAAAGTTCAGTGACCAATGAGGTGATTTTTTGAAAGTTCAGTGACTAATCAAGTAGTTTTTAAAGTTCAGTGATCTGGTGGAAACTTTGGATAAAGTTCAGTGACTAATGGGGTAATTAACCCTTTTATCTTTCTAACCATTATTTTTCTTTTTCTTAACAAGAAACAAAGGTCACTTCTCTCTTTAAAATTTACGACCACTACTTTTTCTAATACTCTCATGATGGGTCTTACACTTATTCATAAAGCTTATGCTAAGTGCACTAGTGCCATTATATTGATTATTGTATTAATTAAACTAATGTTTCTTTATGTGTTATGTAATCAGGTTTGGGATTTTCTTGCTCCACTTATTATTATTATTTTTCTTTTTTATGTTTGTAATGGTTTAAATCTTATATTTTGCCTTCTAATTTTTTTGATTATGTTTAATTATTTTTTAAGTCAAAATCAACAATTAATTTTAACCACTCATTTTATAGGACCCACAACTTCAACAACACATTCCATCAACTTTTATCAAAATCTACTAAAATTCTGATTTTAATATACAACAAACAGGGGCCTAAGAAAAAAGAATTTTAAAATATCATGTCTAGTCTGACTTATCAAACAAACATTTAGAGCATGTTTATGNCTGGAAAAAAAAAGAAAAATGCTATTCATCCACAATTTTTATGGATGTAAATGATTGGTTAAATGAAAGGTGAAATTAAATGACTTATTTAATTTCACCTATCATTTAATTTCATCTATCATTTAATGTCACATTAACGCCATATAGACTGGAGATGCATCCCCACTGAGAATGAATAGCATTTTTCTTTATCAAAATTCGCTAAAAATATGATTTTAATCTTTATCAAACAGGGACTTAATATTCATAGGGGGGCCATATTTGAAGTTGGCACAAGGTTCCTAAAATATCATGGTTGGCCCTGATTCCTTGGACAGCTAGAAATTGCGGCTGGCATTAGAAGAAAAGAACATCGATTACACATCATTCCATGTTAATCCTACCACTGACAAGAATTTTGATTCCAATTTCGTTCGGGTGAATCCAAGTACAAATAAAAATGCTATTCATCTCCAGTGGGGATGAATTTCCAATCTATGTAGATGTAAATAATTGGTTAAATGATAGGTGAAATTAAATGACTTATTTAATTTCACCTATCATTTAATGACACATTAACGCCACATAGATTGGGGATGCATCCCCAGTGGGGATGAATAGCATTTCTCAAGTACAAAACTTCCTGCTTTTCAAAATGATTTTCACAACTTATAGGGTTAATTACATGACTGGTCACTGAAATTTATGCAAGGTTTTCAAGAGGTCACTGAATTTTAAAGTTTCATCGATAGTCACTAAATTTTACAAATGTAATCTCATCTATCGCTCAGTGACTAACGGAAAAACTTTTTGTAAAGTTCAATGACTAATAGAAAAACTTCTGAAGTTCAATGACCATCTGAAAACATTAAGCAAAGTTTAATAACCAATCAGGTAGCTAACCAATCCTTTTTTTTTTTTTTTTTGTCTTTTTCCTTCTTTTTTCCTTTTTTCTGTACACTTACCACACAGTA